GTGTCGGCGGCAGGAGTTGCAACCAGTCGACAACAGGATCTGCAACAGAAATTGAGAGCGGGGGAGGTTCCTCGGCAAGCACCGTCCTGCACGTGAGTAGCAGCGATCCAACGAATGACGGCGTCTCATTCCCGTCCTGCACGTGGCTTGCGTGATTTGGGGACAAAGCGAGGAAAAGAGGAAGTTGAGGAAGAAGGGATCCCCTCATCAGACGGCTATGATGCAGCGTATCAGACGGCTAGGGTGCGACCGACCCAACTTTGGGCCGGCGCACCGGCGTCTAGCACTTGCCTGCGCCTATACTAGTACTATATTTCACCCAAGTTTTCTTCTGTTAGAAATATATTTCACCGAATTAGCATGCATCGTATGGTGCAATTTCAGGACTAGTTATACTCATTTTTTGGTAGCCGGACGCCATCAAGGCAATTTATTCAAGTGGTTGGCGGATTTGCATGTGATTGTGCAACGCCAATCAGAAATTCAGGGACAACACATCATGTTGTAGCTTGAAGCCTTGGAAGCCCCGAAACAGATGGAGACAGGCTTTCATCACCCGCAGAACTTGACCTCCAACTGATCGATCATCATTAGCTTGCCAAAGATCACAGACCCCCACCATGTTTGTTTCGGTTGGAGTCGGAATATCCAGAGCTGAAATGAGCTCATCAATTATCTGCATGGATTTCATAGGTTGATACTTTATCTCTTCATGAACATACTTTTTGTTTCGGTTGGACCAAATCGCCCCACATGACATGACCGAAACTGCAGTCGCTGCCTTGTCTTTGGATATAAAAAACTTGCTCGGTATTAGGCATACGTAAGAGAATTGCTTGGTGTTAGGCAAACGTAAGAGAATTGCTAGTTAGGAGGACTGTGGTATCTCCAGCCCATCAGGGTCCAAATCTCGGTGCTCGTATTTTTTTTCTTTGAGCATCAGCGGTGCTTGTATTTATTTCAGAATTTTCGGCAATGCGCGTAAAGTGAAAGGAGATGTTCTCGTCGACTACGAGGCGATTACGGTGACTTTGTAAAATCTCAAGATGATAGGGATAAGGTGTACGTGTGTGTGCATTTATAGGGGGGGGGAGTGTATGCACGTATATATGAGCGCTTGTGTATGTACTATACCGTGTTCGCATAAAAAAAGAATTGCACAGTTAATTAGCTGAAAACCGAGTCCTCTAGCTTGTGGACCGGATGGTTGTTGAAATGAATCTCTGCGTGGATTGCTAACAATTTGGAAGTTTGAACTCTACCTTTTGAGGAGGGCTGTGTCTCTGCTCACCTTAATTTTAGCGGTGCTTCCTTCAACCCTATGCTTGACCTGGATCCGGCTCCTCTACCATGCCCAGCAGCACGGTACTCTGCCGTGCCTTCTTCCTACCCAGGGGTACGCGCTGGTATGGGCCAGAATATCCCCTAAAAAAAGAAGATATGGGTCAAAGTCCAACCAGCCTAGCAAACCTGATACATCACACACCGCTAAAAAAAACCTAATGCATCACACCCCTGCATATTAACTAATTAACTATTACTTTTCTAATTCGCAAAAAAATATATTACTTTTCTGAAAAAGTAATTAACTATTATTATTTTCCCTAAAAAATATTATTATCTAAAAAACACCAATTTTGTATCTCGGTCATATATTATGCAGAGCGAATTTTGTATTTTATATTTTCCTTTTTGTTACTTATTATTGTTTTATCGGTTGGATTGGTCCTTTTATTTTTATTTTTTGTGCCTTTTGTTTCTCCTCGCAACGTTCCTTGCTTGCGCAGCGGCCTACCAAAAAATAGACCGCTACTAGTTGTTTGGGCTAAATTTATTGAATAATCCTATTTGATAACCTCATATAATTCGTAAAAAGCCCGGATAATCTACATCCATCGGATATTATCGATACCGTATCCGCTACCATATCCGTCGAATATCCGGTTGACCAAAATCCATATCCGGGGGATTCATGTGGCCACAGTTACATGTCCATAAATTGCACGTAATTACAGTTGCACGTTAGTCGGGCAGGCATAAATGTGTTCACATGTTTCTCATAGGTGCTCATAAGGGCAGTGACGGGCATGCATCTGGTGTGCAACTGTAGT